ATAAAATAAGAGAGGCAGAGACAGAGAGACAGACCGACAGAACACAGGAGAGAGAGCACAAGACAGATCTGGAATTTTTTCCTGCACTCTGGAAAGCTGGAGAATTCAGTAGCTGCTCAGCCCAATAAGTTGGAGCCTCTGGCACAAGAGCACTAGGGATATAGCCCCAGGCTGAGACAGTTCCCAGAATTACCTCCCTCGTGGGTAACTAATGTAAATTTATGTTAAAAGGCTGAAGAAACTGGTGTCTGACATCCTTGGGCAATGAAAGTAGGAAAAAAATCACACTTGCTCAAGCATAGCCCCACTTCCTCCCCCTTCCCCTTTCATTCTATCCAGGCTACAAGCCTACTTCCTAGTGCTACCCATGATCAGCATGGCTCCTCCTCCCTTGGTCTGCTGGCCTAAATGCAGATCATCTCCGAAGACACACTCACATTTGTGGACAGGATACCATGTCTTCGTCTTGTACAATGAATAATCACTAAGACAACAATATGCAATGTATTAATTATTGAAACTGTCCTATTAATCGGTTTTGAAACTGTCTCATTGTTATTTGTTTCTCAATAAAATTATTTTTAAAAATAATAAAACATACACACATACACACACACACGCACACAAAAGACACACCTGGAAATGTACACTAGTGATGCTGGGCATTTCTTAATGCAGTCAAGCTGACAAGATTAGTGGCTACAGCAGTCTTAAGTAAAAGATCAAGAGGGAAGCATCACAATACATAATTTCCAGGCATATATATGACCATTTAACTGAAACAGAACACTTGGGGCTTAAATATAGACACCCAGAGCCCAGTGGGGCAGGATAGAGGTATTAGAAGTAAGCCTACAAAGACAATCAACTGACGGTCAGCAAAGGCACCAACATTCCATATCTTGGAGAAAGGACAGCAGTAGTAAGAAAATTCATTATTCATGTCCTGAAGAGCAAAACTTGACCCTTACCTCTCACTTTGTACAAAAATGGCTGAAAATCTAAATATAAAACCTGAAACTCTGAAACTGCTCCAAGTGATCCCAGGGGAGACCCTTCAAGACAGGCATAAGGAGTGATTTTGTCCTTAGATCCCCAAAACACAAAAAATGTGATTACAGCAAACTAAAAATCTTGTTCACAGCAAAGGATACAGAGTAAAGAAAAAGCCTGCAAAAGAAAAGAAGCACCAGCCATTCAGCTGACAGATAATTAATATTCAGAATTTATAAAGATCTCAAAAAACTTTTAAAAAGACAAGCTATCCAATTTAAAAATGAGCAACTGAGATGTGAACATTTAATTCTCAGAAGAAATACAAATTGCTAATAACATTTGCCATCAAGAAAATGCAAATCAAAATTACAATGAGATAGTTTAGAATGACTATTATTTAAAAAAAAAAAAAAATGCCGGCAAGGATGTGGGGAAAAAGGAACTTATATGTTATTGGTGGAAATGTAAATTGGAACATTCACTACAGAGAAAAATGTGGAACTTCCTCAGTAAATTAAAATAGAACTACCATCTGATCCAGCTATCCCATTCCTGGGTATATATCCAAAGGAAATGAAATCAGCATATCAAAGAGATACCTGAATGCCCGTATTTATTGCTGCACTATTCACAATAGCTAAGATATTGAATCAGCTTAACTGTTCATCAACAGATGAATGGATAAAGAAACTGTGTTACATATGCACAATGGAATATGCAGCCATAAAAAAGAATAAAATCCTGTCATTTGCAACAGAATAGATGAAACCAGAGAACATTACAGTATGTTAAGTGATATAAGGCAGACGCTGAGAGCTAAAGACTGCATATGCTTTCGTATGTGGAAACCCACGTCAAGTTGAAATTAGAATAGTGGATAAGAATTGGAGATGTGGGGGTGTGATGATCGAATATGATAAATGTATGTTGTGGATATGAATAAAGATCACATAAATCCCATTGATACAAATTTTTTAAAGAATATTCACTGTAATATAACTAAAGCCCAAAACATGATACAACCCTAATATCTCACAGCAGAAGACAGGATGGTAGACTTAGGGCTGGCCAGATAGCTCAGCAGACTAAAGCACTTGCTTAGGCAGATGCAGGGACTGGGGTTCAATCCCCAGAGTGCTGTGCTGGCCCTGCCCCTGGGGCATGCAGAGACAGGGATTGAGACTGGCCTTGGTGGCACTCCTGTAATCCCAGTGCTTGGAAGGCTGAAAACAGGAGAATTACTTCGAGTCCAATGTGTGTAGTAAGACTTTGTACTAAATACATAATGAAAAAGAAGAGGGTATAAAAGAAATAAAGTGATATATTTTCAAAATGTAATCAATATAATGCCAATAGGTAATAAAAAGGAATATATTATGCCAATAAAAAGTGACATGAAGGAAACTCTGCAACGTTATGCAGAGTGAAAGGAGGAGGCACAAAAGAAAGACTTATGAGATTCCACCTGTATGGAGGTCTAGATCAGGAAAAATTAATCTATGGTAATGGAAATCAGAGCAATTGTTGGTTGCAGCCAAAGTGGACTTGGTGGCTTCCATCTGGAGTGATGGAAATGCTTTAGCCTCTTGGGACTGATATGGACCAAATGTATGTATTTTTCAAAACAGAAGGAACTATTTGCTCATGATCTGTAATATTGGATTCTTTACTTTCAGTACTCTAAAAAAGCATATAGGCCTTCTAGGGCACAGCATCTTCTTAGAGTTCTCTCATGGGTGGAGAACACAGCAGACAGTTAATAAGAAGGGTCTCAGCTGGTAGGACCAACATCAATGACTTTTGTAAATCAGCATTTATAAATTATTAATATATATGTGGGTCCCTTGAAACCAGTGTGAATGGGCCAGAAAGGGGAAGACACATCAATTCACAGTTTTTCAAAGACTACTTTGAAGAGCTGAATGGTCCCCAACAGCTAAAATGGGATGTCCATGCAGCACACATTATCTCTGATTCATACACTCTTTAAAGATACCATGTGCCAGCAATTACAGTCCCAATAGTTACATCTCTTTGATAATCAAATAAGAGTCTTAGAGCTGTCTGAGGGTGAAAGACATTTAAATGGGTATGTTAAAAAGATATCCCTGACTGAGCCTATGAAGGTGCCTTCTCTTTAATCTAACAAATGCTTTCTCCTTGTCTTCTGCAGGGGCACAAGGTGAAGCACAGGAACAGAGAAATCAAAGTCAACGACAGCCCTCAGCCCCACAAGGCCTCTCTTGGCCTTGGGGAGTTGGGGAGATGACAGCTGTGCTGTGCAGGAGGGTAGGGGAGGGGTGGGGGGAGGAAAGACCCTCAGAGGAAGGATGGGGCTCCTTTACTCTCATTTCTCCACCTGCATTTTGTTCTATTTACCTGGAAAAAAAAGAAAGCAAAGAAAAAAATGTTTCCTTATCTTGGTTGGAGGATCCATGCTACTGCAGCATCTTTCAGGCACTGTCCCTGTCACTTTTGTTTTCTTAAGCTTTGCCCCAGGGTCCCAGTGGCAGGGTTTAACACCCATGTGTGTCTCCTGGCCTGCCTGCCTTCTCAGTTATTTCACAAAGCTGGCCCTACAATGCTTTCTTCAAAGAGGAAGAAGATGACTGACAGGGTACAGAACTAATTTCAGCAATCACCAAGCTGTGTCAGTATAATTCACAGGTAAAGGAAGAAGGATAGAAAATGGGAAGCACTCTCAGAATCCACTTTGCAAAGGTCTGAATGATAAGTTTAAAATGTGTTTTCAGGGTTTCCCAGTTACAGTGTGTCCCCTGTAGTTAGTAAGTACTGTGGAAAGAGGCTTTAACCAAGAGCACAGAAGTGTAACAAGGAATGCAGGTCCTGGGGTCCACAGGCGTCCTTTCCTTCATGGTCAGGTGGTACACCATGTTGATTTGCAGCAGAGTTTAGCTGGTTCATGACTCTTACCATGTGCTTTTGCATGGAGCGCCCCAGTGAGATATATGAGGTATGACTGAAATATATGATAGATGTTTAAATTTTTAAAAAATTACACTAAAAGACACACTCTCAAATACTCTCTCACTTTGACCACACTCTGCCTATCATTCTTGCTATTCTCTGCAGTAGTTCTGGACATCCTTTTCGTGACTATCTTTAGGAGGTGTGATCAAAAACTTGGTGAACACTGCTGCCAAGAGCCATCCAATAGACAATGCAGGCTGGTAAAAACATTAGTGTGTCCTCCTTTACCAGCTCTGGCATGGTGATACTTCCTCAAATTCAAAATGTTTGGACTCAGTCATGGGTATCATAGACAGCTGTGATGACAGAACTCAGGACACAAAAGAAGACCTCTAGAACTACTTCAGAAAGTGGCAAAAATATTGGAATGAGTGTGTTCAAAGTGAGGAATATTTTTAAGGGGATTAATGGTAGCGTGTCTTTTACTGTAATAGTGTATTAAAATTAAACATGATATTTTCGATCACACTATGTAACAATGATAAAGGATGCCTCTGCTAGGTATTGAAAAGAATAAAGAGGGCTTGCTGCATTTAGGATTCAAACATATGCCTATTATTTTTGAGATGTTCACTCCAAGTCTCTTATTTACACAAAATAAAGACATGGGCAGTAAGTAGAAGTCGTCACAGGCATTATCCCTGGGCCAACATAAAGCAAGATGCTATGTTCCAAGATCATTCTCTTGTTTTCCATAGAAACTTATATTTACTGCATATTTTCTTAAATCCCTCTTCCTTCCTACTTAGGGTTTTAAAAGAAGGAGAAACATGATGCATCAACTTGAGTATCTGTACAATGACAGGATGTCTGTTTCCTAAACATCCCATCCAATTCTTCAGTTCTGTCCTTTCCTCTTTAGAAAAGTCAACTTTTGTCTTGTGCTGACTTGTTTCTTTTTCTTTTTCTTTCTTTCTTTTTTTTTTTTCCCTTTTTGAATCTGTTGCCCATCCTGGATGGCTTAGTTGGTATATTGGAATAATTAGCAAATTATGACTCTGCATATGTCATATTTTATTGTATCTTAGTTCTTACAGCTGTGCATCAACATGGCAGTAATGATATTTAAGTGACCTCATGAAGTTCAAATATGGCCATTTCTCTTCCCGCTATTATGCTACAGTTTGAAGCGTATATGTCCTTTATTGACATTTGACATTGCTTTTTGGAAGAGCAAAGACAAGGCTTATTTTGAAGCATCTAAGAACCAATGTCATCCAAATATTGACAGTTGCTATATTTCATGCCATTTTATAACTCACTTGAAAGTCTTCATTCTTGTGAAGTGCCTGACAAGTGCTATCTGCTAGGAACTGGTTCTTCAGCAACTCCCAGTGTTAGTATTACTCACCCTCTATAATGAGTTATACTTGAAAATAAGGAGATAAGAGGTACAGAGGGTTTTTTAAAGGACTAAGATGAAAGAGACCTAATATTCTGGCTAGGAACAGCCGAGATTGAAGTTATCCCTGTGCAGGCATTCTCATCACCAATGACATCCTGTTAGTTATTCTTATTTAAATGTGGGTGAGGTAGGAACAAAAAGGGAAAGTTCTTGGTCCAAAAGTTGTAGAAAAAGAAAAGTAATCTCTGTATCCAGAAAACTAAGACATGGAGGCATATTATCGTCCCATTCCTGAATTGGCTGAAACTTCATTTTATGATTAGATTGCATTTTCATTTTGGCTTTGTTATGCTTTTTGGTTGCGATATGATTTTATGCTTTAAAACAAATAATGTTGAATTTCCATTTCAATAGTGAAATATTAACAATCTAGCTATCAGCCAGATGGAAGACATCTCAACCCAGGAAGCCTTCATTTGCTGGGGTTGCTGGTGCACAGGCTGTACAAAGGAATAAATTTATAAAGCTAATAGATTGACCTGCACATGGCTTCTGGATATCAATTTTCAACAGCACTGCAGCCAAGCTTCGTAGCATGAAGGGTTACAGAGGGAGGAAGGAAAATATTCCTGTATGAATCACATTTGCATACAGAGGATCGAAATAGGCCTTCTGCCTAACAGTCCTAATTTAAAAGGTACTCACTTTGGGCGAGACAAAGGGGCTATTCCTGTAGCTGGTCACTATTTACATGACAGACAAGCCTTCTTTCATAAAAGCTGAAAAGAGGGCATCGAAAATACAGTCTGTGATATTGGGTCACATATTAATCATCACAGCTAATTGTAAATCTTTCTATGAAATGCTGAAAAGCCTCTTTGTGAATTAATACAGTTCTGCTTGACGCATTTGATGTGAAAAGACATTTCTCTGTATGTGATGCATGTCGGCTTTGCTTTGAAAAATAACAAAGTTAGCAGAATATGTCCAATATATTTTCTTGGGGAATAGGGTTTTTATCATACGACTCATTAAGGATTTGCCTTACCCTAACATTTGTGATATAAAGGAAAATCAGAATAAAAGTAATTTTCTTGATCAAGATATGTTTTTACTTAATGCCAATAAATGTAGTCTGTTGCTTGCAAGGGGGAAAAATGTCTTCTGGTATAAACTGCTAAATAGGATAATACGTGCCTCTTTTGTTAAACCAGCCTAGAAATGCTGGACTGCTTCTAAATCTGTTTCTTTTTCATCTGTGCCATCCACTGAAACACTGAAACAACTGTTGCCTTCATATTATATTTGTTACAGCAGAGTGCAAATAAAATTTGTTTGAGAGGATAACGTGGAATTATCTGCTTCATGAAATGTTTTATTTAGGGACATGTATTTATTAACTCAAAATACTCATTGAATGCTGTCGATTTGATAAATATGTATAATATTTAAGATTGCATTTGTAAGTCAACTCTCACCTATTAGTCCTTTTTCTTTACTAATCATAGTGTTTTGAAGGCGTTTTTCAAGCTTTAAAATACAGAGTAGTCCACATCAACATGAATCGCACTAAGTTTTCTTTAAATACTACATACTTTTAGGCCAGCTGCCTTACCTACAGCTTCTGAGAAGCAGGCATAAGTTGAGAGAAAGCCCAGGACTCTCTGAGCACTGGTCCATGTTCCAGGAGTGACCGTCTGATGCTGGAATTCTTCTTGAGTGTCTTCTAGGAGCTGTCTGTGTGCTGTCCTGTGATCACAGTGACCGTGCTCTTCCGAGGTCTACTGGCAACAGGGTGTTGACAGAACTGCACAGCTGTTAAAAGTGTGGCAACAGGCCTCCAAAAATCATTATGAAAGCATTCAATATGCTTTTGAAAATCCAAATACATACATCCAATTTAATTCCCTTTATCTCCTACAGAATAAGTGCTATCAGGGTTATTGTTCTAGAAGGCAATTAAATCACCTTTTTATCAAGCCAAACCAGAGCTGTAACTATTTAAGGAGAAGAAGATGTTCTAAACTGTCACATCAGAGGAGTATTTTCCTGATAGTAAACAAGACTTGATGAGAAAAAAATACATTGATGGGAAAATCTCATGCTACAATGGGCAACCTCAGCACAATGCTTCGGGGTGACCGTGAAGGTAATTTGCTGTGGTTCTGGAACTGTAAGATACAGGGTTTCATCCACACCCAACTTCTGTCATTTTCTGTCACTCATATTTCCCTCCCACCCCTTGTGCTGATTTCCCACTCATTGACCACAGGTGATGTTAATAATTCCCTAACTTTACCAGTGGCTCTGAGGGCTCAAAAGAATGACACCCATTTAAATTCTTCTTGCTAGGCCTCTGTCCTAGTTGTTAGTAGAGAGAGGTAAATGCCTCCATTGCTTGGTCCAGAAAAGGGACATACAGATATGTGTATGAACTCACCTTTAAATTTAAACACGGATAAAGTTCCATGTATTCATTTTTTTTGGAAAAGAACTTGGTACATTATTTGCGTTAGATTTTGCTGTCTGGTACTCTAGGCAAATGATCCTTTCTCCAGCTATAAACCCTTTACCAAAAGAATAAATGGTCCTTACAGTTAAATAATTCATTAATATGCAACCCCATTATGCTGAGGTTAAGTTGAACTTCATCTCCAGATTAAGGAGCCTTGAAGATGAAAGTTTTGTTTATGTTTTTGTTATTGGGTATCTGTATTGTTAAAATATGTACATGCTAGATATTGATGTAAATTTGTTAAAACCATCTTTTCTCTGATAATAATTGTAGCCAATCTGTAAGGAAAAAAGGGGTACAGCTTTATCTCTGCATTAGCACATATGGAAGGATACATATTTATAAAGAGAATTATGCCAATGTTCCCTTACCTTTGCTGGGGTCGGAGTACCCATCTTCCTCCTAATGAAATTAGATGT